AGGCGCCAGCACCACACCAAACTAATCGGCCGAACTGATCACCGTTCACCGAGGCAGCTTGCGGGAACAAGCTAGAGAGCCCGCGCGCCAGGAAAGGTGACGCACCCCAGCCGAGAGCCGACGTCAGGCCGCTGATGAGCATGCATGGCTGCATGCAGGCGTACGTCCTACTAACGGAAAGGCCATGCACTACCACACTGAGCCCCTGTGCCGACGGCCTAGGCCGTCGGCATAGCCCTAATTCCCGTCGGCATAGGCCTATGCCGATGGCCCCCGTCAGCGTAAGGCCGTCGGCAACATATGCGTCGGCATACCCCAGGGCCCCGTCAGCATAGAAAGGCCGCCGTCCAAGCTATGCATCGACGAGCCTTTGTTTTGGTTGGACGCAGCCACTCTGCAGGCAACCAAAACCATGACAGGCCGTCAATCAACTTGAACGAAGTTGATCACATCACAAAATAGCACTTGCTAATAAACATATATATGTGTAGCGTTAGATATATTGCTCTGTCAAAAAAAAAAGAGATGCTTTCTGGATCAAGTCTTCCAAGTAAAATTTTGGACTCGTTAGAAACGAAGTAGACCCGTTGATAGCGAGACGAAGTAGGCCCGTTGATAGCCAGACGACAACATTGTGATTTTGTCAATCTTCCAGATGCGTCAGTGTGTATACTTTTTGTTCAGAGTTTTAGGGAATGTTTTCTTTTTGTTATTCCCTTTGTTCCATAATCCTTGTCGTGGTTTTAGTGGGGTATTATTTTCTCAGTATTTCTTAAGTCGATGCTAAGAACAATCTGGATCGCAATACTACAGAGATTTGCATAAGTGTGGAAATATAAAAGAAGAATATCTTGATCACAGCTAGCGAGTTTGATCAAGAAATAGAAAATAAAAAGAAACAAAACTACTTATCAGTTGACTACTAAGCTATGATCACTCTGCCTAAAAGTAGCTATTAGTGGCACCTGCAACTAGATCCCAATTTTACTTAAAGGAGCTCATCAAGTCAGAGGTGTAACCCAGAGCTTTTGCTCCGTTCTTCGTCTGGACAACGTTAACACACGTTCCTTAAGCTTCCATTTGACCAAAGCAACCTCGATAAATTTATGGCCCCATGAGTACATTTGTTATCGTGGTCATTTCGGGTTTTCAATTCATAGAGTAGATACTATATGTCTATATGTGCATGTATGAGCAAGCATGTCCGAATTCATAGAGTAGATACTATATATGCTACTCCTTCTGTGTGAAGTTTCCTTTGAATTTGAAATGTGCATACAAAATTGTGTACTAGTACAAATAGACATATTTTTATCAAGAGGTTTACATGTGTCCACTCCATCCAACAATGTGAATGTGAAACTAGGAAAAATGAAAACCGGAATCTTCTTAAACTTGTGCACATTCTGCTCTCATTTCAAAGCACCCACACGCGCGCACAACTAGTCGGATGAATGTTCTCTCCCGTCACTGTTCCTTCCGTACTGCCAGTGTGCGCGTCTAGCGTCGGATGTCACTGGCAAGGTAGTCAACGATGGTTTCTACTCCAAGAAAAGTATAGGAAACATCTTTGTCTGTCACCGAAGCCCTGCTAGATCTTTTTTCCCCCCAAGTCGCCGCCTTCTTGCGCCAACACCGACCAGGGTCGTCCGCGAGTTCAATGGATGCCAGTATGCCACCGTTCATTCCCCGTCCGTCCAGTTGCTATATCATTCGTGAGTACTCTGACCCGACCTTTCGCCGGAAGATGGAGGTCGGCATGCCCGGCAGGCGGTAGCACGACAGGGACACGGCGACTGGCAACCCTACCTTACCTAGCCGCGCGGATACTCTCGCCGTCGGTCTTGCATGCGTTGAAGAATCAAAACTCAATCAACTGTCGCACACCATGTTGCCGGCATCTATCCCAGCCACCTTGTTGTCACTCTGGCCGCGGCACTGGCGTTATGTGGCGTCGCCGGCCCGCGGGGAGGCAGCATGCAGAAGCCGACACCTCTGCTCGACGACCCCGACGACCGGGCTCGGCGGATTTTTCTCGGCGGTTTCCCTCCGTCGTCCTCGACTCTGCAGAAAAGCGCGCGGCAGGGCAGCAACGAGGAAACGGGGCTTGCTAGCTTCGCTCCGAGCGAGCCGGCCGGCCGCCGTCGGCAGGGGCCGGGGGCAGCACCGCAGCACGATCAAGGAGACGACGACTCTCCGTGCATGGAATGGAAGAAAACATGGCTACTAGTGCTGCATGTAGCTAATTTGGTGTTGGGTGCTAAGTTCTTCGTGTTGGCTAATTGTCATAGCTTGTTTCTGGTTCTTCTTGTTTCTTATTCCTTCTTGTGTGTGTTGGGTGCTACTTCCTGTAGCCGTTGTGTTGTATCTCAGTCCCTCTTATGATAATGAAAATGGTTCAGGCCAGCGTAAGCCCGCCGTAGCACCGTCAAAAAGAAAAAGATTGAGAGCCAAAGAAAAGCAACACGTACGTTGCATAGGAGTATCACTTTATCACCCATGTGTTAAGAGCTACAAGAAGAAAAGTTTCCATGAAGGGAAGGTCAATGATGGACAGATGATCGACCGATTCATCCATATGGCAGGCATTTAACTTGCTGTAGACCGATCTTGATTTGGCGCCACCAGAATTTCTCTAGTTTCACTGAATTCTTATAGAAAATATTTTCATAATATACATATGTTTAATGTTGTGTATATATGTTGGTCAAACTTAAAAGGAAGTTTGACTTAAGACTAATCTACAATCTCAATTAACTTGGAACAGTGGGACAAAGAGACGTAGTCACCTCAGGTTATCAGATAAACACGCGACACCAGTTTTACCAAGGCTCGACCCTCCCTATATGAGTAACAAAATCATGCTCCTGCTTGTATGTGACTATATCACAAGTGGCTTACGAACTTACGATGATGGTGTGCAAGATGTACTCAGCGAGCCGGCAGTCAACTCATCGAGTTGGGGGTAGACAATCTAGACAGAGTATCTAGATCTGAGCTGTACTGATTGTGCTAATAATTGCATGATAGCTAGGGTTTCCGGAGATCTTGGAGAGGTGGAAGATGTCTGCTCGTTTATGGTCACCTAATGCAACACAAATTGTGTATCCACAAAAGTTATACTACTACCATTAAAAACCAGGACATTTAACTTTTTAATGATATTATTTTTATAATATGTAAATGGTACTGCCTCTGTTCACTTTTATAAGGCTTTGTATAGATGTTTCAGACAGTGTGCAAAACAGCATAATTTTACTTGTCTGAAACGACTTATAAAAGTGGACGGAGTGAGTAGTATTATACTGATCAAATTGTTTATGTAGCTAGGGATACACACAGGAGCCTAATAAACCGAAAAGGACGTAGTAACCAATAACAGTTTGTTTTCACCATCCACACACAGAAGATTTTTACCAAGACAAGAGGAAGGAAGCTCCATGTGGGCAACATCGAAGGTGAAGCGAAGCCCGTTGGATCCAGCGCCAGCATCAAATAACTCCAAACTAATCGGCCCAACTGATCGCCGAGGCAGCTTCTTGGAAGTAGCGAGCGAGCGCGCGCGCCATGCATGCATGGCCAGGAAAGGTTCCCTGACGTGACGCACCGCGGCCGACGTCAGGCCGCTGATGAGTAGGGGCGTGCGCTAACGGAACTAAAGCCGCCGTCACGGCAGTGAATCAATCCTCCATGTGATCCGTGGGTGAATTTGCATGCCGATTGCCATGCATCCACGAGTCCCTACATATTTTATGTGAGCGGATCACATCACGCAGTGTCATCACTTGCCAATTTCTTTTTAGTTGCCATGCCTGGTTCAATGGATGCAGCATTATCTATGTGTTTCTGGATCAATTCTTATGGGTAAATTATTTTTTTTGAACTCCTTGCAAGCGAAGTAGACCCGTTGATAGCGAGGCCACATCAAGATTTTTCAAGTGCTGCAAGCCTGCAACCAATTTTTTTTTTGTTGACTGCGTGCGTGCGCGTGTGTATGTACTTTGTGTTCACTGCTTATGAAGTGATTCTTTTCTATTTTTTAGAAAATTATTGAAAATTAAACTTGATCAGACGCTGGCGATTTCGAATAGGCAATAACAAAAAAAAAACTTGACCTTGATTGATTTCACTAAGCTGTATATAATCACTAGCTAGTAGCGCACTTGAATAGTACGTGCACAGCATCACGCTAGCTAATTGTGCTGAATCAGCTGGGTAGCTAGGGTAGGGCACAGCGTTACCAAAAGTTTTCTTCGTCTCGACGACGTTAACACGCGGACGTTGCATCGTTGAAGCTTCCATTTGAACAAAAAATAACCTTGATTGATACC